CAGGATTTAACATGATCCTACCCTTTGTATTGGAAATACATCTCTTCTAGTTAGTGTTTGTCCAGGATTGTTGTTGCTGGTCCCTTGTGGGACACAGCCCTGCCTTTCATTGCATCGCAGGTAAGAAGTCACGTGCAGAGCTAGCAGGATACTTTATTATTTCTTTACTCATTTTGTAAGGTTAAAGTGAGAGAACCTCAAGCAGGCATTCGTATTGGATAGGGCAAAAGAATGCAGTGCTCAGAGTTAATTAGCTATCGAGATATCATGTAGCTTTTGTAGCTGTCATTTCTCAGAATGAAAAGGAATATAATGATATACTGTAAAGATTATGAGGGAAGATTGGTGTGTATCAGGGATATTACTTTAACTGAAAAAACATCAGAAAAATGTCCTAGTTTCTGTGTAGTTCCAAAGCTCGGTATATGGAACAAAACATCCAAGGGAATTAATTACTTTTTTGTTGAGGTTTTTTTGTGAGCTTTTTAAATCCCAAGGAAATCTATGTGCAGGAGAGTATCAGTCATCTATACACAGAACTACATAAAGTATCATTAGAGACCCCTCCAAATACATTGATTTTTTATCCAGCAGCAGTGTATCAATATTTTAACCACTGACAACAAAATGTAGCCTTCATTATGAAGTATTTTCCTGTGGGTAACTAAACCACCGTGTATCAGGGAAAATAAATAGCTGCCTCCCCACATCTTCTGCCTATGCAGAAAGTGAACTCCTCACATCGCTCCAGCAGAAGAGCGTTGGTAAGAAATTTAATGTATTGTTCCCTCCGCTCACCAGCAGCTGTCTTATCTAGCCTCATTTAACATTATCTGAGCTGTTTTTCTTTCTTTTAACCCCACGATGGGAAGACTCCTGAGCTTTCCAGGTGGGACTGTGCTCATTTCCAGCCTGGCATTTGTTCATGGCTGGGTTATACCGATTTGTCCCTGCACCAACATAATAATTTGATTAAATAGCTCTTCTATCTGGCATTTATCTCATCGCCACCACCTTCCAGCCCAGCTATCATTTAGCTAGACTAAACTAAGCAAGATTTCTGGAGTCATGTCTCCAAGAGAGCTAGAAGTGGCACTGATATGCTGGATCCCCTCCCCATAACTGGACCCCAGTGAAGCTGGTATGTCCAAGCACTGGGCTGCCCTGAGTCGGGCACAGAAACAAGCTCCCATCCCAGAATATGTGATGGGCAGAACATATAATAGTATGCCTTGAACTACAAAGCCATTGTGTTTTTTTTGTCTCTGCCTCCTATGTGGTTGGTTTATTCCGAGCATCCCTTCTAACGTGGCTGTTCAGCCAGCTGGGTGTAAAGTCCGTTCCTGCAAGTCTCTTGGCATACAACTGGCTGACGTCTTAGCACCGTTGGCTTGAAAAGGAAGCTAGGCACAGTCTACCGTAACGGCCCTGAGATCTTCCACTGTTTTTTTCATTAATATGTCCTCTTGAAAAAAAAAAAGTCTTAATTACAAGCTCATTTTAGTTTTTACTTCGACTTATGCCAAACTAAAGGAGTCCACTCTGTTCAGCCCAGGCTAATTTTGCTCCTAACTGTTCTTCTAGAATATCTTAAATTACTTATGAACACCAAAGCTAAACCAGTTCCACTGCTTGCCAGTTTGGTGTTTCTCCAGTACAGAAATCTGCCATCTCCCATACAGAAATTAGCTGAGCTCTGCATGATTAGCAGCATTTTTCATGATCTATATGTAGAGAGTTTAAAGTACTCCACAATGATACAACTCCCCAGCAATATTTATATCCCATGTAGTGCTGCAGAGTCTCTACCGCTACTGGTCCAGCCCTGAGAATCTAAAATAAATCCCCCAAAGTATCTCAGGAGAACCTCTTTCATGATCATACTCAAAAGTGAGTTAGACCTAAAGATTCAGGCTTATCCAGCCTGGCCCTCCTTATTCCCATGCAGTCCTTTTCATCATGAACACAAAATGTCACACACTGTGGCTCTTTTTTTTCCCACCAATAGCTCTTTCTCTTCTGAACTTCTCTTTCTTCTCCACACCTGTGCCCCAGTCATAATTGCTATTCCACAGTGTTTTTCTTACCTTAACATCATTTGGTTTCACAGCTTGTGAGAGAAATGCACGTTCTTCCATTTTACTGCCCAGCCCCCAGTCGTTGCTATACAAGAAATCCCTCCTGCTCATCACACCTTGTTCACAACCCGGATTAGGAGCACTCCTTTCATTACACTGCAAAGAAAAACGTGGTGTTATTTTGCTTTCCTGAAAGCCATTAATCCATTAAATCTGAGCTACTTAGGGGCATTAGAAATGGAAAAGCAGCTCAGTTCTCTTCTGAATTTGTTGCAAACTCTGGCTTTTTAAACCTCTCACCCTCAGGCTGTGGCTGTCCTGGGAGCACCGTGGCAACGAGGAGTTACCGTAGGGTGCAGCAGCCTAAGTGATGAGGGTGAGCGTTGCACATCCACCGTGCACTGCACAGCGTGCGTGACATTGTCACCCCTGAACGAGACTATCTGTGTCACTAGCAGGGTGCTCCCACAGGTGTAATCACACATCCATCCGGGCTTGCACCTTCTCACACCCCTGAGCAGTGGTGCCTCTGCTCCGGACTCCTGGGGTACTGCGCTCACCAAAACCCTTTATGGGACGCAGTGCACTTCAAACATCCAGGAGAAGCAGAGAACAGGTCTAAAAACCAGTAGTGGTAAGGAATAAGAGACATCTAAAGGACTTGGATAGGGTGAAGGGGCAATTGTGATGGCTCGGTGCAGCTGCATCCAGGCAGGCAGAGACCTTGGCTGGGAAGGGAGAGGGTAGGCTGTGGCTTGGCCATGCAGTTCTCCTCCTTCCCACAGTCTCTGTGAGGTGGGGTTCAGTCTTGGCTGAAGATGATGCCAAACAGCTCACATTTCTCCTCCCTCCCAGAGAAGGAGGGTAGGAGGAGAAGTCTTCCCCAGGCTCTCCTCTGCATGTGCCCAAGCCATCTCTCAAACACGACCTCCCGGCTGGCTTGCCGTATCCCCCAGCAGTTTTGGGAGCACCACAGCCTAGAGTTGGGGGTTTACAGTTTTAATATACGGCAAGCTAGGGCATAAACCCAGCTCTGGGCTGGACTTAGGTATGATGAGAAAATCGATTGTTGATTCCTGGGTTGTTGACTTTGCTCTGGCATGGATTAATCACATGAGATTTTTTTGTTTGTTTGTTTATCTGTCAGCTTTCTCAAGGGGATGGTGGGTTTCTGCGTCTTTGTTTGTTTGAAATCAATAGGCACAGTTCACTTGGCAGAGATCGTAAGACCCCAATGCAAAACCAGCAACAAGACTCTGCATCTATCTGTTTTTTTACAAGTTTTTCCAGAGACTATACTTACCCTCAAAAATTACCCAGACAGGACAAAGATTGAGGCTTATTTTTACTGAGGATGGAGACCCCTACTGCAATCCTATTTCACAAATAAACTGTATTAACCTGTTTCCCAACATGGTGAGTCAGGAACATTTGGTGCCCAGTAAGTTCAGATTTCAAGGCTGTGTCAAAATGTGCAAAGCGGAACCCTGGAAAAACAATCACTGCTGTGACAAGGTCCTGGATGGGAAAGCACCTATTTAATCACATGCTCTTTCAACATATCTGAATCAAGCAAGGTAGGACCGGACACAGGCTTGTATAACTGTGTCATGAACTTGCCTGTTCATGTCAAACTAACATAGACTGTGTTTATTACAAAATAATCTGCAGCTGAGTTGTCTCTGAAGGTCAGAACAAAGGCCAAGCAAAGGTGAAATGAGATGCAAATGCTGCTGAGATGAGTCATATGATGACTCTCAGAACGTGTCGCGTATCACCATGTGGACTGTGTCCACTTATCAGTCAGCCCAGCATCAATGACAGCAACAGGCATTTAATGTGCCAAATAACTATAACATCAGGTTATTTGTACCCAGTGCAATCAGTAAACTCCCTTTTGAGGACAGCAGTTCTGCCAATGCGAACGGAATTGCTTATTTAAAGTTCTGAATGAAGCCCTCTTCTTCCAAATGAAGATGCTGTAGTACACATCTGTGCAAACCATATAGCCTCCTGCCCTAACATTATGGCCACTAACCAACACCATCCAAACAGTCCAGCTTTTTCCACCATTGTAATCTTCTTTTAGCACGTCTGTACCTCTAGGATGCTATTCCTTTGCTACACCATCCTTGCAGGAGAGCCACTGCAAAATTTGTGTTATCCCATTGCTTGCATCTTTTTGCCAACTGCTGCAGAAGGGTGGGTGCTCATTTTATTCATGAGCCATGAGCTGGTGTTTTGGAAATGATGGTACTTTAACCGCTTACAGCTGTGGAACGCCAGTATTTCTCTTACCAAGTGCCTGGGCACAAGCCAGCAAACAAGGTGAACTTCTAAAGCCTTTAGAGGGGGCAAATTCCTGCCTTTGTTAGAAACTGCTGCTGACCCACCACAGGAAGACGCAGGCAGTGCTTGCTCTTCACAACACAGAAAGAAAGATATTTTAAACAAAATCTTAAATTCTGCCAAGGTTAATTCAGCTACCAGAAAAGATCTTGTCATACAATATACGAATAACCTTTTCACTTCTCTTTCC